TATGCTTGTTGCCTCTCACTTGGGCCTTTTCATTTTTAAGTTAACATGTTAAACATCATTTCACTGCAGTTCCAAGAACCTATCTATGTCACTGAGGATTTACTGTATTTTCCTGCTGACTGCAGGAATATTGTTGATCTTTGTATTTGTGTCATTTTTCTTACAGATTTTGAACAATTAACTATTTGAAAATGCTTATGCTTTGCTGATTAATCCCATTACAAAATCTTATTTTTACGGTTCTAATAATATCATCATTCTCTCCTACAATGTATAAACTGAAAAGGACAAGAGTCATCCCATGAAAGTAAACAATACAAAATTTTGACTCTTGAACTGATGGTATATTAAAAAATTAACTTTCTCTTCTTACTGCCCCTTAATGTATTTTCTCATGCCTCAGTAAAATACATTAATTTATTTGATCACATGATTACTCCATTGTCCAATTTTAGCAAGAAAGTTCTTACATCTCAATCCTAGGCATATTTTCAATGCCAAATTTCTTTTTCACAGAAAAACTCTATAGAATTCTATAGAAAGCAAAGGACATGAACAGCACAGCCCAATATGGAAATTGCTATGTAGAAACATTAGGAAAAAGGATTACCAGTGAAGCCTGAAGCAAAACTTCCTCTGGGATTCAAGGGCACTGCACATGGGATCTTTCCATTCCTAAGATTCTAGCATATGCCTAATTACATTAACAGATAGTTTTTGCTGATAGCAAAACTTTCTGAGGAAACCACCTTGACTCCCGTTTCCATGGTTACGACAGAAACATTAAGAGATTAGAAAATTGTTCCTCTCCCCAACTTTTTTTTTTTTTTATCTGACTGTAATGGGCAATTCCCCCTCCCCACCTCTTGTGATAAATTCATAATATCAAGACTCTGGTAGATCTTTTATAATTGTCTGCATGTTTTAAGTTCTACTATATACATGCTGTTGTTTCTGTGTTTCTGATTGTGTTCTCTCTTTGGTGCACCAATCTAGCTGCCTGCTCTCCAATTAAATGGACTCATCATTTAATAAGGTCTACTCTATATATTTCATCTTGTATATTTCATCTTGACTGTCAAATGTAGGATCTAAACTGGACTTTATCAGAGACCTGCTTCTCAAAAAACAAAACAGAATAAATTGACTTTTTTAAGTTTCATCATCAATATCCTCTTCATCAGGTTTAAAACTTAGAATCCTTACACTTCAGTTTTTTCTTTGTTCTTCTTTAATCCCTTGGTCTAATCAGTAAGCAACTGATTTTTTTTTTAAAGATTTTTATTGGGGAATTGGGGGGATGGGAACAGTGCTGGGGAATTGGGGGGAGGGGAACAGACAAGTTGCTGTCGTTTTGTTCTTCAGTCTAGTTGTGGAGGACGTTGCTTCACTGGCCCAAGTTGGCACCATCATTGCGCTCTTCCCAGGCGAGGCAGATCAGTCGCCGGCTTCTGGACGGCCGCTCACTGCAGCTGCTGGCTGCTCACACTGGCTGCTGGCTACACACGGTAGCCCATGGCAACCCACTGCCACAGGGGCTGCAGCCTACGCCGTCGCCGGCGACTCACGGCAGCCCAGCTCCAGGTTGAGCTGTTGTTCAGCATCTTAGCTGTGGAGGGCAGTGTCACTGGCCCTCATATGTGGGATCCGAACCGGGGCCCTCTGGCGTCCCAAGCCAGTTCTTAACCATCGCGCCACTCGGCCGGCCCGCAACTGATATTTTTAAGTGTTAATTTTTTTATCCTATAGTTTCACCTTATTTCAGGTGTACCTTACTTTTGTGTACCTTGCTATAGTGGCTTCTTCCTTCCCCTTTTTGATTCTAGGGTCCCTCCCCAACTTTATCAATCTACTTTTCACACTGCTTCTAGATTAATCTTTCATTAAAAAAAAAACAACCCTATATCATATTCAAAATCCTATTTAAGCTCCTTGGCATTTACCCAAAGTAGGTGAAAATTTAAGTCCACATAAAAACCTGCACACAGATGCTTATAGCAGCTTTATTCATTGTTGCTAAAACTTAGAAGCAACTGAGATGTCCTTCAGTAGGTGAACAGATAAATAGAACTGTGGTACATCCAGACAATGGACTATTATTCAATACTAAAGAAAAATGAGCTATCAAGCCATGAGAAGACATGGAGAAACCTTAAATGCATTTACTAAGTAAAAGGAGAAATCTTAAAAGACCATATACTGTATAATTCCAACTATCTAACATTCCGGAAAAGGCAAAACTATGGACACAATAAAAAAAATCAGTGGTTTCCAGGAGTTGAGGTGGGTTATGAATAGGTTCAGCACAGAGGATTTTTAGAGCAGTTAATACATGTCATTATACATTTGCCCAAACTCAAAGAATGTACAACAATGAGAGTGGACCGTAATGTAAACTGTGGACTTTGGGTGATAGTGATGTGTCAGTGTAGATTCAACAATTATAAAGATGCACCACTCTGGTGGGATGTTGATAATGGGGAAGGCTGTGCATGCTGGGGGGTGGGGGTGGGGCGGGTAAAAGGGGGAACATGTTTATAACCATCACCAAATGTAAGAAGAAACCCACATGTTTGCAAAGTGATGCTTTGAGATAACTGGTCTCCACCTGTACGCTGCCCCTCTGACTTGGGAAGCATTTCCTTCCCCATTCTCCATTAAGCAAATCCCACCACCTGTTAAGTCTTGTTTAAGTCCAAACAGGTGCTTTCAACAAGCATAATAGATCTCTTTATTTTCTGGAAGTTCCAGCTTCATTCTATTCGGTAATTTATTGTATAAGTTTATGTCCCTCAATAGCTTGTTAGTTCCTAAGAGGTAGGGACCATGTTAAAACTGTGTATCTTTTTACCAGGCTTAACAAGTGATACTTTTGTTAAGAGCAGCAAACTAACAATTACACTGTTAAGTACCAAGTGCATGATCTTACAACAGAGGACCTTATGTTGCAGTTGTTTTGTAGATATGCAGTATCTGCGGGGACAGTATCCCATTTTTAACATTTTAGTCAATCACAGTGCTTAACAAATGCTGCATTTATTCAATGTATACATACCTGTAGATCGATTCTCTTTATCGTTAAACTGTGGACTGTATTAGACAAAGTAACATGCCTAGCATCAAAATCCTCAAGTTAGTTACATTAAAGAGAGCGGAATAATGCCACTGTAGGTTTTACACAGGTCTTTCTCAAAGTCGCTCTGACATAAAAAATAAAAATGTTCAGGTGTACAGCGAAGTCAACACTGACTGGACTTAGAGTCAGAAGGCCCCCTCTAGGTCCCACACTTTGGGCAAATCACTTAATCTGTCAGGTGCGCAGTTTCTTCACACAGTAATTGAGGTAACGTATATGCTTAGCGCCGGGAGTATTGCAGGTAGATATTGCTAGATTCGTTTGTTTCCTTTTCTCAGAGAAGTGAGGGGGGTGAGGTGGGGGGCGGGGAATAACCTCCAGTTATACTTGTTAGAGTATAACAAGCATATATAGAAAAAATACAGAATATAGAAAAAACAAGGAGGAATGACAGAACGGGATAACGAGGGGCTAAGCTGATTCCACCAAATCCTTTCCTCAATATCCTCCTTTAATTTCCTAGATCTTGGGTCTCGCTCTCCGCTCAGCCTCCTGCAACACCAGTCCCGCGACCTCCCCACTCCAGTAGTGGTGGGCTGCCCCCACCGCTAAGTGTTTTATCTGTCCGCTCGGCCCCCCTCCACCTAGTCCAGGCTCTTTAACCCTCCCTTGCCCAGGGGAACTTAACCTGCAGAAAGTAGAGAAGCCAAGGGCCGCTGTGTCTGCTCCCCCGAGTCGGCCTCCCGCAGCCCTAGGCTCCACCGCCCGCGCCAACGCGGCGCCCCGCCCCGGGCAGGGAGGTCGGTACGAGGGGAGGGCTTGCCAGGTGAGGCGCGGTCACCCTGGGCCTCTCACTTCCGCCCAGGTGAGGGAGGGCCGACGCCGCGCCCTCCAACCCGCCAGCCCGATCTGGGCTCCCACCCGCGCCTTCACCGGACCAGGTAAAGCGGGGGATCCCGCTGTGTGGGCGCGCGCTGCGCTCGCGGTCCCTGCGCCTCGAAGCCCACGGGGGGCAGTCCCTCCTCTTGCGTGGGGAGCCTGCCTCCCCGGCTCCCAAGACGCCTGCTCTCTGGCTGTCCTCCGCCCACCCTTCAAGAGGAGGTGGAACGGGAGACTGAGGGCGCCGATGGGCGCTCGGAGGGGCCCGCGGGGGGTGCGGGGCGCTGTCCTCCTGCATCGGCCCGGGTGACCCCACCGGGGCTCCCGCCCCTTGGGGCAGGGCTCGCCGGAGGCCGCGGCTGCAGAGCCGCCCTGCCTCGGCAGGCCCTGGCGGCCCTCAAATCTCGGCGCACTTCTGTTCCGGGAGTCTGGGATCAAATTTTGCACCCAGATCGATGTCTGCGCAGCGCCCCCAGAGCTGGGCGGAGTCTTTCCTAAATCGGTGACGGTGAAAGGAATAAAGAGGTAGTGGCCTGCCTCCGGGACCGGGAGAAGGCGGGGCTGCCTACACCCCAGCGAGGGGGCGACTTGGCCTCGGCCCCTTCTGGGAGCCTGTCGTCACGCAGCCGAATTCCCAGGCCGACAGTCAGGCCGAGACTCTGCTAGCCTCACTTTATAGATGGGGAGGACCTGGCGGAAAGTGCGCTGACCTCCAGCCTTTGGAGAAATTGTGGATTCTTGCTTTAAGTCAAGCTCAGGAAAGCATTTTCAGATCCTTCCCCGCCTTCTCCAAAGCGCCCCAGCTGGCCTGGCACACCTAGCTGGCCGAATTAATATCCCTATGGAATGTTCACTTGGCACTTTGTCTTATCTCCAGATGGCTCTTATCATTTTGGATTCGAATTAGTTGTTTACTGGTTTGTCTCCGCGATTGCGAGGGTGCGTGCGCCTTCCGGGGCCTTATTTCTTTGTTGATTGCTGCTCAGCTGCGTTTAGAGTCTGGCCATCAATAGGTGCACGACAAACAAATGTTTCTTAAATGAATGAAGACTTCTGGAGAGCTAGAAGAAAAAGAAACTTTACTATACCAAGGGTGGTAATACCACATTCTAGGCTGCCTGAGCTCCTGTTGGCTGCCAGTTCTTTTTTAAAGAACTGCACACATCATTTTTAAAGGAAGGCTGGGGAGGAGTAGGGGTAAAAACTCAAATCGGTTCATTTTGCAGCATCAGAAAAAGGCGAGATCGTGACTTGTAGCGAAAATGAACGTGATGTTTCTAGGCCTCTAATGGACTTTATAAGGATTATTAAAAATTTTAAATAATTAGAACATTAATAAATATCGGAGCTGGAAGATAACTTTATAAATTGAGTTTATAAACTGAGTTCTGAAAAGATTTGCCTGTGTTAATTGAGATCTTGTTAAGAGTCACATATGATGATCTTGCCATCAGAATAATAGTTTTGTTTAAAGTTGAAAAGAAATTTTTTTGAAGCCCTCATCTGTGTTTAAAGATGCCTTACTAAGTTCAAGTCAGATTTATTAATAGTTTTATAACTATGAAGCTAACATAGATTCATTGTAGAAAAATTGGAGAGAATTTTCAGGAAAAGAACTAAAAGCACACACAAACCGATTTACCATTGAAAATAACCACTAATAAAATCATGGTATATTGCCTTTCGGTTAGTGTTCTTAAAAAGAAAAATCTATATTTGCCCATAATGAGTTCACTTCGAACTGTGTGATTCTGAGACAGTGGCTCAGCATTCAGTAATCCTTGCAACTGCATTTTTACTTGAAGGCATTTAATAATTATCCTTAAGCCAAACAGCCAAGCAGTTTGAATTTACTTGCTTTGTTAAAGTTTAACAAGCATACTTGTACATTAGGCTGGGGAAGCCAGAATGGGGTTTAATTTGTTTACTTAAGACTTTGCCCACCCTGGTACTAGAGTAAATTTTTTGAGAAACAGGATTATTCCACCTTAATATTTGAGATTGCTTGACCGTTGCTATATTTTTGTTGTTTTTCACATATGTTTTTGTGTAGGTTTGGATGTCTTTTTTTAAAGCATCATTTTAGGTTCTGGTGCAAATGGAGAGAAATTTAGAGCGTGTCAATACTCTTTCTTTAGTCATCAGGATAAGATTTGTGCTGCAGGCATAGAGCCTGTTTATTTTTTGCGTTTGTACAGCCTTGCAGCCAGTAGAACTTGGAGACATGGAATTGGGTCCACTTCCCATCTAACTCTTGGCAAGTCACTTGACCCTGGTCCTCTGTTTTCCCATTTGTAAATGATCTACCTCACTGAGGTTTTGGGGAGGTTGAAATGAAATAATCTTTTTTTTTTTTTAAAGATTTTCATTGGGGAATTGGGGTAAGGGAAATAGACAAGCTGCTGTCGTTTTTTTGTTCTTCAGTCTAGTCGCGGAGGACGCCGCCTCACTGGCCCAAGTTGGCACCATCATTGCGCTTTTCCCGGGCGAGGCAGATCAGTCGCAGGCTTCTGGACGGCCGCTCACTGTGGCTGCTGGCCGCTCACTACACATGGTAGCCCATGGCCACCCTCTGCCACAGGGGCCGCAGCCTACGCCATCGCCGGGGACTCACGGCAGCCCAGCTCCAGGTTGAGCTGTTGTTCAGCATTTTAGCTGTAGAGGGCAGTGTCACTGGCCCTCATATGTGGGATCCGAACTGGGGCCCTCTGGCGTCCCAAGCCATCTCTTAACCATCGTGCCACTCAGCCGGCCCTGAAATGAAATAATCTTAAAGAATGTGTCTTGTAAACTGTAAGGCATTCTTCTTCCACTTTTTGCTTTTCCACTGTGATTGATGTTTAGCTCTGATAAAATTATGCAGTTGTGCTACTTTTATTGGGAAAAACTCAAGTTTGTGAGTGTTATCGCTAATAGTTACTTTGACAAAAAGCATAGAGACCATATTAGCTGATAAATGAAAGTCTTTGCTGAAAACACTGTACAGGGATCTTTCTGAGAAGGTGTAGGATAAAACTGTACCATCAACATGGTTAGCACATGTGACTATCTGGCACTTGAAATAGGGCGAGTAGGGATTGAGATGTGCTGTAAATGTACAATACTCCACAAATTTTGAATAGTTAGTGAAAAAAAATTCTAAAATAGCTCCTTAATTTTTTAATATTCTTTACATATTGAAATGATAATTTGAATAGATTGGGTTAAGTAAAATATATTGGGTTGTCGGAAAAGTCGTGACGCATTTTTGCAATGAAAAACAGAAAAAATACATCATGACTTTTCCAACAACCCAATATTATTAAAATTAATTTAACCTGTTTCGTTTTACCTCTTTTGTGTGGCTACTAGAAACATTAAAGTGGCTTACGTGGCTCATGTTATATTTCTGTTGAGCACTGGGTTAGGATTCACTATGAGTAAGTTTATCCTTAAGAGGGTTTAGTTTACTGAAACACTTACATTCCTATTTATGAATCGATTTTTTTTTAAGTTCCAAAGTTATAGGCCTCCCCACACCCTCCTTTGTATTCATTGCATTGGTGAAACTTTTTGTTGTTCAGTTATTCAATAAATAATCATTATTGATTACACAGCAAAATCTCAGCTAAAATAATTATTAGCTTTTTTGAAGCCCCCCCAAATATCATAAATAATTTTAATTTTAAAGAGATTTTAAAATAATAGTAGCTACCATTTATTGAATGTGCACTGTGTGCCAGGCCAAATGCTTTATAATGTCTTAGTCCTTTCAACTATAAATATTTAGTAATTTTTATTAACTTGATTTAACCAATGAGGAAACTGAGGTGTAGGGAGATTTCAACAATTGGCCAGAAGAGCCACAGTGCTGGTCCCGGGAGTAGATCGCAGGTCTCTATGATTTTAGAACTTACAGGCTATAAAGTCTCTCATATTTCAAGAATTGGTTATTGGATCAACTGGGAAACAGTTGATTCTTGAAGTAGATATTTATTTCTGATCCTTTTTTTTTGTGTTAGTGACCAAAAGGAAACAATCTAAATGCTCAGGAGATGGTGTGAATAAATTATGGACGAGTATTCCTCCAGTGGAATACTATTTACTAGTTACAATCAGTGAAGAGGAACTGCGTATATCATCATGACTAAATCTTAAAACTATGAAGTTGAACTAGGGCCGGCCGAGTGATACATTGGTTAAGAGTTGGCTTGGGACGCCAGCTCTGAGCAGCAGGGCCCCGGTTCAGATCCCACATGAGGGCCAGTGATGCTGTACCCTCTACGACTAAGATGGTGAACAACAGCTTGACCTGGAGCTGGGCTGCCGTGAGTCGCTGGCAACGACGTAGGCTGCAGTGGGGCTGGATGGCAGCTGGCGTGCNTTTTTGAGTAATTAAAAACCTAACTAAAGAAGCACCCTTGCATAACATAGCTTGGTAAATAAAGGGCATCAAGACAGATATAAAAACTGATTCCAAAGGTTGAAAAAAGTAATAAAAATATAAAACTTCCAAGTTTACATAATTAAAGAGAATAATAATTTTTTTTAATCCCCTAGCCAGTTCTCCAATTTTAAGTTATTCTGGAAACTAAATGATAATGTTATAACTTTAAAAACACATTAATGAATTACTTTGATCATACATTTATCTATGAAATAATGTTTTAAAAATCATTTTTAAGGACATGTTTCTGGAAGTCTTACCATGAGCTGTGTAGTTTGTACAGTTAACTGGTTCTTGTGTAGCATCATTTATTTTTGGATCTTTACAAATATATGTAAGAAAAGTTAAGGAAATATGAACTACATTCCAACACGAAACATTATCATCTTGTCTTTAATATCTCATATTATATACTCATGTTTATATTCATATGTAAAGAGAGGTGTTAGTTTATCCAAGTCAAAAACCACAAGCACAAACATACTTTCAATGTGACTAAATAATACCTGAACATTAATTTATTACAGGAAAAGTTTATTAACTTAATATATACTAAAAGCTCTAGCAGAGGACGCCATCTTTAAACAGCATCAGTCAGGGTATAAGCACAGAGCACAAAGCAAAAATGAAAATAAA